ATAGGCATTTTAAAGGTGGACACTATTAGGCAGGCAGGCAGAACTTGGTGCTCACCTAGGCGCGGTTGAAAAGGCGGCTTGCACGACTTTGGCAGAAAAATAGTTCAGGAGGGGGCAAAAAAGAGTCATTTTACCTCCTTAAAAGGGGGGGATAAGGGTTTGGGGGGCCATTCTTGCCCCTAAAAACAATTTTAGTGAACTTTAGAGTGAAAAACAATTTGAAAAAAACTTTAAGATTTTTTGAGAGATTGAAACTTTTTTTCGAAATCGTCGAATGGTCACGATATGAAAGGATATTCATCCCCAATCTTTTTGATATTTGACATCTCGAGTTGATTTTTTCTTTTAATGTTACTTTTGAGTTATAATTATTTCATTTACAGTCTAAGTTGTAAATGTTTAGGTTTGATCTGTGCTTCCCCGGCATCTTAACAATATATTATATGCAAAACTTGCTTATTAAATAATAAACAGACAATCCTATGTACAATAAAATGGGGGGAGGTGTGGGGGATCCATTTTTTTTTTTAAAAAAAAAACATCGGTTACCTTTGGGTTTGGGCGCCCGCCTAGGTGGCCTAGCCCCACCCCCTTCCACTGCCTAGGCGGTCGCCTCTGTTGAACATTGTTTGGGATAAATTGGTGGGTATAGGGTTCTCCACCCGTGGTAAGACTTGAACTCTAGACATCTTGCTATGGTACCCATTACCCTAACCACTTATGCTTTGAGACCATTTTTGAAAACCATATAGTTGATTTCATATAATAGCAGGTACAAATAAAAATTAAAATAAAACGCACTAACAAGAAATGGCAGAAGAAACGCTTGAGAAGAAACCATTGTTTGCAAAACCAGCCAGTTTGAACCGGAACTGGCTGGTTAGATCGGACCCACCATGGTTCCGACTCCGGTTATGGCCAGTTTAGGGGTACAAGTAGCCTAGGGTATACTCCCAAAAATTTTTTGGCCCAAAACCTGCCGGTTAGAGGTCGAACCAGCAATTTTTAAGTGAAACTGGCCGGTTTTATGCTAATCGGACCGGTTAGACGATATAACCGTTGTTTTTTTACAAAATAACGGTAATGCACCCGTTACGGCTGTTATTTCAAAATCGAGGCCGTTATTTGTAGCAGACATTCTTGAATCCAAATTTTCACTTTTTTTTATCCATTTTCGTGCCTTTTTTTTGTCCTTTTTCGTGATTTATTGTTGTAAATCACTATCTATAATCTATAAAGCAAGAAATTTGTATTGAAACATCGAAAGAAAAGGAGTTTCTTGGATCGAATTGGCGAATTTTTTAGGTTTTTGAAAATTTCCACCGTTCTTTCAATAATTTCTTCAATACCTAATGGTTCTTGGAGAAATTATGGGTTGATTTTGGCCTGAAATGTTGCTGCTCAAAGAACCTGTATTCGATCAAAAGATGCAGATTTTTTATCTATTTATTGGTCGTTTTTTATTAAATTGAGTTGTGGATTTTTATGATCAATGCTTGATCTCTCAAATAAAATAGGTATGTCTATTTATGATTGATTAAATGTTTTTATATGAATTTTTTCGTTGCACCATATCATGAAAATTTCATAGATCTGAAAGTTTTACCTTTTTTTTCAATTAAATTAAAAATACCAAATATTTTTTTGTGAGATTTGGTGCGTTTGAAAGATGATCGAAGCTTTTACAATGCATGTATGTTTATTTGTTCGATTATCCAAACATTGAGGGTCATTTCTTGCTTGAAATGTTGCTTCATTTTTCTAAAAAAAATATTTTGTTTAATAAAATTATGTTTTTTGATGAATATGGGAAGTGTTTTTCTATTTTTCTTAATATAATTATTTTTAGTAGAATTATGATTTTTTTAATAAAATTATGTTTTTTGATGAATATCGGAAGTTATTCTATTTTGCTAAATAAAATTATTCTTTTTTATAAAATTATTATTTTTGATGAAATTGATTCTTCGTTTTGATAAGTGCATGATAATGTCGCTCGATTTTTTTTAATTATGTTTTTTTAAGTGCATGATATTGTTATATTTGTAATGATGGAAATGAGACATTTTGTTTTTTTAAGTGCATGTAAAATTTTTGGTGCCCTTATGTTCAATGAGACACTACACCATCGTCTTGTATGTTTCTGGAATGTTATGGAAAGAGTCTTTAAAAGATCAACCAATTTTAAAAAAGTCGGCCGACTAACTCAGGAGCGGTCACTGGTTGGTCCCGATCTGGCGCGATTCTAGAGAGAGAGAGAGAGAGTTTTACAAAGGTGATCTTAATTTCAAATCATCTTTCACATTTTTAGAAACCGATTTTTTTTTAAAAAAATTCATTTTGCTTAGTAAAATTATGTTTTTTTATCAATATGGGAAGTTTTTATCTATATTGCTTAATAAAATTATCTTTTAAATAAAATTATGTTTTTTAATAAAAAATTATGTTTTTTGATGAATATGGGAACTGTTTTTTATTTTGCTTAACAAAATTATTTTTTTGATAAAATTATGGTTTTTTTTAATAAAATTATGTTTTATGATGAATATGGGAAGTGGTTTTCCATTTTGCTTAGTAAAATTATTTTTTGATAAAATTATGGTTTTTTAATAAAATTATGTTTTATGATAAATATAGGAAGTCTTTTTCTATTTGTTTAATAAAATTATTTTTTGATCCAATTATTTGTTCTACTGTTCTTATTTTTTGATAAAATCAATGCAGAACACACTGATATGGATATGGTAGATACATATAAGAACAACTGTACATTGATTTTTCATTTTGTTGCATATCATGAGATGCACTTTTTTGTGAAGCATGCCGTATTTAACTTCATTGAAAACGTATTGTATGAATTATGCTTTATCTAACTATATGGAAGAGGTCTTTTCTATTTCTTGCCTTAATTAGTTGGCTTTTTTATTTGATTTAATAGCATCAAGCTACTTTTGTACAAAAGAAACTTGAAGTTTTTCATGTTGGGTTTGGAATGAATATGTTAATTCTTGGAAGAAGATGTTACATGACAAAAATATCTTAAAAAAATATCCTAAGATATTTTCATGTACAGGACCATAGTATTCAAATATTAATTTATAAAAAATTGTTTCAAATTTTTTTTTGTAAGCTAAATATATGTAATAAGGTATTATACACTTAATCTAACTATTTCTTTTTTTTTTTTTTGGGGGAGTTTTTGACCCTTTTTTTTAAAAAAAAATGTACTTGACCAGTTAACCACTCTGGTTAGTCCAGTTCCGGTTCAAACCGCTCCCAGCCCCATGTCCGGTTGACCGTTCCGGTTCGATTTTGTGAACACTGGAAGAAACCCATAATCATTCATATATATTTTTGGTTTTCATTCAAAAACGTTGTCAGAGTTTTGGTAGATCAATGTGTCAAAAGTATATTTGGGGACACATTTGAATAAATTTGGTAAAAAATGATAAAGAAATTTGAAAAAAAAATTCTGTTAAAAGAATTCCCCGATATTTGAAATCTTGATTTCTTCTCTTTTTCTTTTTAGACCAACAAATTGTTATAGGGGTTTGTTAGAGGTCTCCAATAGCAATATTTTGAATCAAATAGTCGATGATTTGGTTGAGAAATGAATAAGAGATCTCAAGAAAGGTGGATTAGGTTTTAGGGCTAGGGCTAAAAGATGGTGAGATTATTATGGAAAATCTCACCCAAATGCAAATTTTTTAATCAAAAGACTAATTGTTTTGGGCTAGGAGGGATCAAGTTGTACTCAAAATCAATCAAAATGGGGTTAAGATGAAGTTATTAGTTGAAGAAAAATAGAGAACCCAGAAAGTAAAATGTGTGCTTACTTTATTCATATATAAAAAAGGGGAGTACCGCCCGACTTGCCTGAGTCCAAGTGAGAACTAGTCATGGACCCGCTGGGCCAAGTTGATTTAGGTGATCCTTGAGTCTACTCAGCATTTTTTTAAACATTATGATAAACACAGATGAAATCTAATGATTTTGAGTTCGTAATGTGCAGATATGTCTCCGTGGGGATCCCACATGCAGGACCATAGTTGGGCTGCATGGCTTGCCCCTCGTGAAGGATTATTCTATGTGCATGGGTCATGATTGTGTTTTGAAATTGTGCAAGGATGGGAAGAGATGTAAATGGTATTGATTGGCATTGGGAGTTGAATGGAAGCAAAAATTTATGTGGTCATGTTGCTGGCATTTTGAAGTGGTTTTTGCTAATCCTTGATGTGGGAGCCGTTCTAAACACACCATGGCAGCCAGTTCCCGTTCCCTGCAGGAAATGAGGAAGGGCTATGTATTATGAATCTATAAAAGCCAAAAGAGGTGACTGATGCGTGCTTCCAATATTGCAGCTGTATGAAATAAAAATCATGGTGGCTTGCTTCAAATTTTGTATTTCAGTTGTAAATTGCATCTGCTGGTCATATGTCTCTTTGAATGTTGGGAAAAAAATCTCAAATTGCGGAACATCCAAGGGAGCAGAATGAAATTTTTTGACCAGTTTTTGAGACAGAACATGGGCTGCAAGAATGTTTTGCGCTGTATTGGAAAGAAATCTGAATAAGCCACAACTAAGACAGCATGTGCCTTGAGTATGATTGGTCCTCGGAGATGAACTAAAAGCTCATGGTTCCCCACAAACCATTGTTCTCGTTTGGCTTTCCCACAATACAGACCTCAGATATGATTTAAATTCTGGAATTTAATTGAATTGCTGGAATATTTAAATTCTGATTTAAATCCTGGAATTGAATTGAATTGCTGGAATGTTTAAATCCTGAATTTGGATATATGTTATTTGGAAAACAGTTAGATTCATGTATTTCTACTGTTTTGCTTACCTATTTGTAAAATTTGGATTGGCTTATTTCATCATATTTCAGGTTGTAAAAGTGTATTTCTTCTTGGTATTTGTGGCTGTTGTTGTTTTAGATCCATTCATATCCTCGTAATTGTTTCTCTGCCGAATTGCATCATTTCTAACTCCTCTCTCCCTCAATCCTCTATTTGTGCAATTTTGCTTTCTTACCCGTCTCTCTCATGCATATCTAATTGCGCCTTCTCTCTCTCTTATTCCATATTTTTTATTTTTATTTTTACTTTTATTTTTATGCAGTGTTGAGAAGATTTTCATTGAGGATATGAAAAAAATATGGTTATAAAAAAGAAAGAGAAGATAGAGCGGAGAACGAGAAAAGCAAAGAAAAGAAAGTAAAATGGGTTGTGAAAGAAAAGCACGGGGGCCTAAAGAGGATGTTAAGCAGCCATCTTTGTCGCCTCTTTCGCTCAAAGCATCTACTACAATGTTCCTCTCCCTATTGAAATGAGAGAATACGGCCTCCCTCTTGGCCAGATCGAAAAGAACTTCATACATCAATGTTGATAGGCCATGGAGTAGAATTAGGTTGTGTACACCACACTGTCATACTGGATGATTCTCTTTCCACTAGCTGACTATGTTCTGAACTAAATTTGCTTCCAATACTGATCTAACACATGCAAACGTCACTATAGGTCCATAGGATGTTACCCTGGCTTTCTCAATGATCCTCCAAACCTTGCAACTTGCACCTCGCTCCTAACATTATTCGAAAGTTAAACGGCACTATTCAAAATTGAAACTGTGGGTAGGTCCAGGAAGAGGCTTTGGTGGCTCTAACCTTTTTATTATGGAAGAGATCATGGCTCTTATTAAAGAAATTCTTTGGGTATACTCTAAAAATCTTAGATTGTCTCTGCACAATGGATTACATTTGTAAGTGTATTATGAATTGCCTGTGGAGGATCTTTTATCTTGCTTTTAAAAGTTCTTTTATTTTTTTCTTTCCACAAATTCCAGCTCATGTTTGCATAGATTATCCTCCACATCTGAGTACCACTTTTCGGCAAGGGAGGGTCAAGACGAATCAAAGAATGATTTAATATTTTCTGGCACTGTCCAATCCATTCCCAGACAGTGTTAGTGTAAGGGCGATGTAAGAACATACGAAAGTTTGATTCAGCATTAGAGTAGACGTATATTGGTTATCATCCTTTTTATCCTGTATCGTTCGACCAATAGATTGCAATCTTGTTCCAGCAGCCACAAAAATGCTATTTACCTCGGTTTAATGAGCTATACTTCAGTTTTTGAATGTCTTGTATAAATGTGCTCATCCCTGTAGATGAGTGTATAATTGATTGTGAGAGCACCTCTAGGGGTTAGTTCCCAGATCACCCTGTTTTCCTCTCTAATTGTGCAATTTCTCTAAGTCCGTTATCCCAAATGGTAGCGTTACGTTGTCTCTCTCTTATTGTTATCTTTCTCTCTAATTTCTCTCTCTAACGGTGTCTTTTCTCTCTCTAATTTCTCTTTGTCACTCTAATGCTTAAGTATCTAATTGTGCCTTTGTCTGACCCCTCTCGTTAGTTCTATCTCCAACCTTGTCCTATATATCTCTAGCTAGGCCTTTTTCTCTTTAAGTTTAATGTATCTCTAAGTGCATCTTCTCTGTCTAATTGTACTTCTTATCTCTTTATTCTCTTTTTCTAAACTGTGCCTTTTCTCTCTAACTCCTCTTATCTAATTATGAAGAGCAGTAGATTTTTGTTAATAATGAAAGCAATCTCCAAAGTAAAATTACAAAGAGGAAGAAGTGGAGAAATAATCTACGCTTACTAAAAAGACCAACCAACCACAATCACAACCACACTATGAAGCTCGAAGACCCTAGTAACAAGTTTAGAATCCTTACTAGCCAATTTGAAGCAACTCCAAATGCCTGCGCATCTCCAGTTCCTCAACTACTCACCATCACTCGTAAGCGCCATCCCTTTTGCAATAAGCACTCAAGCCGGGTTGGCACAACACAAATACTAAACATGGTGGTGTCTAAAGAGTGTTAGCGCAAGCAGTCACTGAAGTGAGATGGTAAAAGAAGGGCAAGAGAGAAGTGGGTCGGAGGGGTGGAAAGTCAAGTAACTGTCGGAGGAGAAACCGAAAAGAAGGAAAGTCAAGGAACCAAGAGGAGGAACGTCAAGGAACCCATGACAAGGTGACAAGAGTAATCAGTCCTAGACGCCTCGTCTAGGACATTTTATCATACCAAATTGAGGAAATTCTTATTCTCAAAAGGAGCAGACCCTCCGTGACAAGGCTTTAGCCGGCTCTTAAGAAGGCCCACCACGCCTCTAATGACCTAATAAAGGGCTGACAAGGCTTTAGCAGGCTCTTAAGAAGGCCCACCATGTCTAAGGCGTTGACCTCTAATGACCTAATAAAGGGGTGATTCCGGTCTACGAGAAAAACTCAAAAGCCCAGAAAAATGCACAACCCAGTCTCAAACCCCGAGAGGAAGGGAAAATCCCGCATTGATCTTCCTCGAGGAGACGAGAGCACCGAGAAGCGATGGCAGGAAAGTACAGGTAGATTTGGATGAAGAGAAGAGACAATAGGAAATGAAAGGAGGAGGGAAGGGGGAGGGGGTTAGCCACCTCTCATTAGAGGAGGGGGTGAGCCACCTCTCATGACAGAGCTGAGAGGAGGGGGTTAGCGAGAAAAGACCAAGGTGAAAGAGCTAAGAGGGACTAAATTCTCATGGCAAGCAAGAATAATCAGGGGAGAGAGAGGTGAAAGAGCTAAGAGGAGCTAAATTCTCATGGCAAGCAGGAATAATCAAGAGAGAGAGAGAACCAGAAGGGGCAAAATAGAGAATGACAAAAAACAAAGGAAAAAGACGAGAGAGAGAGAGAGAACCGAAGATGCATAAAAAGTGGGCGAAGAGGTCAACAAAAGCCCCAAATATAAAGGAGCGACACAGATCCGAGGAAGGAAGAACATCAAAGAGAAGGGAAAAGGAGCAAAACTAAGGGGCGAAGCAGAGTTTCACAAGATAGAGGAAGAGGAAGGGACGAAAGGTACTAGTTGCTCAGTGAACCTTGTTCACCACTGAGCCAAACAATTCCTTGAGAATGTAGGCCATGTTTGCGTGATGCCCGAGAACATGGATTGGTGCTTTAGGCCCTCAGTAATGGTGACAGTGCATTTATAATTGGGGTGGTGAGTCGAAAGTATAGTCTTTTTACTGGGATTTGTAGTGTATGTTATTAAGAAAGATTTTGGGGTAGTTCAATAAGTATACTTGGTTTAAGACGAGGATATATTCCTCTTTCGAAGTTAGGTTATACTTTGTTTATTTTATTGTGTAGCAAATTTTGGGTAGATGCTTCAAGGAGTTTTAAGTGGTCTTTTACTTTCCAGCAGTGTTTTAAAAAACGCCGAGTCGATTCGAAAATAGTAAAAAAGGGACCGGATCGCCTAAAAAATCGAAAATCGTCCGGTTTTAGAGAGAACCAGATGATTCTGTACAGTGAATCGCCGATTCACTGTACGGAATCGGCGAGTCCGAACAGTGAATCGGCGAGTCCCGTACGGAATCTTTTTTCTTTTTTTTTTTTGTTTGTTTGTTTGTAATCCATGATAGATTTTTTTGTAATACTTGATCGATTTTTTTGTAATCCATGATCGAATTGTTTTTGTTTTTTTGTAATCCATGATCGAAATGTTTATTTTCTTTTCTTGTAATCCATGATCGATTTTTTTGTTTTTTTTGTTTTTTTTGTAACCCATGATAGAATTTTTTGTAATCCATGATCGAATGTTTTGTAATACATGATCGAAATGTTTGTTTTTTTTTGTAATCCA